TTTTCTTTCTTTTCTGAAGCACACACAGAGAACCGGTCTCAGTGCCTGTATCAAACACATTGCAATGCCCCAGCCTCAAGCTCTGTTGCTCTTGTGACTATGTAAATGGAGTTTTGTGAAATGGGGAATCACAACTGAATTGAGAGCCTGGAAGCTGTTATCCCCTTACAAAGGTGCCGTGGTCATCCCCGCGCTGTGGGGTTTGTTTCCAGCTTGAAGCAAATAAGAGGCCCTTCTGTATGCCAGTCTCAGGAAAACTAGTGACTTCTCACTGCCCTTGGCTATCTTGTTTTTAATTTAAGAACCATGCAAGTGCACTTAAACAGTCATTGTTTACTGGTGTCATTGTTATCAAAACAAGTAAAGACATCAGCATCTGTCTTGTCCTCGGGTTTTATTTTCATTGTGTCAAGCTACAATGGGACTTCGTGCATCTAGTTCTTGTCTACGAGCACCATTCAACAGGAAATTGATTTCCATGGGTGACAGGCATGGAGGCTCCATGGGTTCCCGGGCGAGGCACACGCAGCATCACCAACATGCTGTGGGTCTCTATCCCTTTTCTTCTTGGGCTGGGGCTCTCAAATCCTACCTGCCTTTTAATGAACCTACGTGTCTTCCTCCTGAGCATGAAGACACTGGTGCTCAAGTGTAGTGAGTGTTTGCCATGAACTGTACCTGGTTTCAAATTAGGTGAGTGCTAAGGAAAGAGCAAGCACATGTGGGGTGGGGGACAGATATTTTACTGAGAATAACTGACGATGCCTCACCATGGACAGGAGCCTTAAGGGCAAAACACAGTGCTTGTCAGTTCACGTTTGTCTGGTCTCGGAGAAGAGGCATTTTCAGGCTCTGCATCATGATAGCTATAATAAGCTGAGTTGAGAGACTTCAATACATACCCAGCTATGAGTATGGACACTGATGAGAAAGCTTATGTGCGCCTACTGACATACATTTCATACAAGTAGACACTCAGCTCATTCAAAAATACAGCTGGCATGATAAGCCTTTGAGAGTATGAAATACATATGAGGGTGTTCAGTTTCCAGTCAGGGTTATGCCATTTTTAATGGTCATATACTTACCCTGTCTGGTGCATTTATTCATTTTCAGGCCAAACTAGATTCAATGATTTTCGTCATTTTTTTTCACCTCTGTTGACATTGTCTGACAAGACCGTTCAGGCTCAGACTGCTTAGGAAAAATAAACTTTGGTGCCAGATTTTGAGCTATCAGCAGTGTTCCCTCTCATCTTTATTCTATTATTCTGTTGCAAAGGAACTTTCAGCTCAGGAGCCACAATGGAAAGAAAACAACCAGCTCTTTTTTCTTTCTTTTTTCCCTCCCCCTTTTTCCATCTTGTGATCTTAACCCAGCTGGTGAGGGAGAAAATTCCCATGTGAGGCATGTGGGTGGAGCTCAATTGTGTAAGCTCCATGCTCAAAAAGCGTTTGGCATGGATCCGCTTGCTCGCTTTGTTTTCCATGGCCGGACACAGGGGGAAGGCACATTCAGCACATTAACAGCTGCCACCTGTTGCTCTGTGCTACTTCAGAGGAACCTGGAGGCTGGTGAATCACACTGTGCACTGGCCCTTGATCTCCAGGGAAGTTTGGGATAGCAGGGGTGTGCATCTGTCCCCACATTTTTCTTGCTTTTGCAGGCTCCAGCAGGACATGATACAGGTGGGTTTGGGAGTCCAAACAGAGAAGGGGTTCTTGAAGCAATTTGAGCACTGCTCTGGTGCAAGTCACTAGGAGGAATTTTCAAGCTCCATTTGATGTGGCTGTCCTGAAGACAAACCCTTCTTGGCTAATTTTGCTGCCACTGGCTGCTCTAGAAATCTTAATTACCTCAAGCATAATTATACAGAATAGCAAGAGAATGCAAAGCAAAAGATCTTACTAACCTTGTCAATGACATTTGTACATCCACCAAATGTCTCCCCTCCCCTGGGCCACAGGGGTTAAATCTATCTCCATTCCCGTGCACTTTCCTGTACATATGTAAAGCAAAAAAAATAAAAAAAAATAAAAAAAGCAGCAGCATATCACTAATGCAGCTAATTCTCAGTATCTTGTAGCAATTGACACAAGTACATGAATTAACTCATCATTTTATATCACTTGAGGCAAATGTGCTATTTGGAGTACCTCTTGGTAAGAGTAAGCAATTTAAGATCCATTAGTATTTGGAATATTCTGCTTCATTAAAACCACAGTGATCCCTAAACGTAGATGAGTGGAGAAAAGAAGCTATCAACCTCTTGGTTGTACTAGACAAACTTAAAAACTCTTTATATTACAGTAGTGTAAAAAGGTTTTAAGATAAATACAAGAGAGGCCTTACATTTCCAAAAAGAGGCTTTACCTACCTTGTGTTGAAGTTTCTCATAGCTTTCTTAGGCCTGAAAACTACCACGTGGATTGAGGGGGAAAAAGCAATTCTGATGTACAGATTTTAATCTTTTAATATTATTCCAGGGTAGTTTTGCAGAATACTCCGTGTTCTATTCTGCTACTTTCATACCAAAATTCATTCTCCTTTATAATGACCACAGTGCCTACAATTATGGGAACCATTTTTTTAAATAAAAAGTACCTATCCTATGTTTTAATTCAAAATTCCCAAATGATTCAGGGCCCCCCTGTCCTGGGTTTGACCTGAAGAACTTCAAGATCAAATCACTTTCATTTATGATGCTGTGTTCTTTTATGATATTACAAATAATAAAAAAGCAATGGTTTCAGATTTTAATTAGGCTTATGACATATCTACAGTACACTAAACAAAACACATACTACACTGATTTGTTCAACACTTATGGTAAGAGAATGAGGAAAGAATCCTGAAAACTTCTGGAAAAAAAAGGATGTTCTTTTTCTCCTCAGTTCAGTCACATTCGAGTCTCAAAAAGTTTCTCAACTTTAAATGGTATCTTTGTCTTTTTGTAGGGGTGTTACAGACGTCACAGTGATTTCTGGAAAAACTGAATTCTTTCACTGTGGTGCCTAATTTAGTCTTAAGTCTTTTCCAAAAGTTGAAATACACTTTCAGGGCCAGAGACCTTACAATTCATACAACTCTGGAATGTGTGCAGGTAATGGCTGTCAACTGAATGAGAGATGGGAACTATTTCTCCACTGAAGAATGAATAGTTGGATCCTGGCTAGCACAGAGTACAATCTGCCTCTCACTCTTCATCAACAGGACAGTCCAACTTTTCCTGACGCTGCTGATTTAGGTGAAACCGCTGTCCAGCAGAGTAACTGATCAATGCAACCAGGTACGAGAGTGCGTCTGTGTTGACAACATGGTGCTACTGGAAGGAATTCATTAGGTGACTGTTGCCACACAATGTTCTTCCCTTGGAAGAAAAACTGCTTCCTGCTTTACACAATTTACACGTGGTTTGGTAAGACCTCATGTTCTGTTGAAATAGCAACACAGTGCTGAACTGAACTCAGTTAAACTGAATGATAGGCTTGTAGACAGGCATGCCAAAAATAAAAGCTGTCCTGACTATGCCCATTAAGAGCATAAAACGTATTCCAAGAGTACTGTATGTCCATTGTATGGGTAGATCAGGTTTTGATTAACTCTGAACTATCCAAAAAATAGTCTCTATAACCAAACAAAGGCACAGGACTCTGGTGAATCAGGATTAGTGTTCTGCAGCTGTAGGGAAGATACTTTATAATTAAGCCTGCACCCTCCGGCAGATCTCGGTTGGAGGTACCAGCAGTCTTTGGCAAAAACTGGTTTGAAATCAGCCTAGCTTCCGGCTGAATAGCTCTCCTGGTGAGGAAGAAAAGCCTGTGTGTTTCTATGGCTCCCACACAGCAAAAGCTCACTTAGAGTATCTGAAACTGTGGACCTGATACATTTCTATTTTCTCACTTTTCATTTCTTTGCAAGATATATTATTCTGTAAAAACAAAGAAGCCTATTTACAAGAATGGTTGCAAAATCAACCATTAATTTTCTGCCTAAATGGAGGATGTGATGGACACTCTGATCCTTAAATAGCAGAGCAGAGAAGTCAGGTTAAATCTGAAATTCCTACACTTTTTGCTTTTCTAGCTTACCAATCTGCATATAGGTGCAACGGTTGGGTAGATCCCTGTGTCAGGAACAAGACTTGCCCTGGCTGGATTGCAAGAACAGAGTTGGATAGACTTTTGGCCTAAAGTTTGAGGCAAGCTAAGTAGTATCTTCCCCCTGACTCATAAGTATTCCACACCAACATCTCTGATAAATGTCTAACATTTGAACTCAGAAATAATATCAAGGGTACTTCTCTCATAGCTGAGTCAAGCTATGACAACAGGTCCTGAAAGAGGATATTTTTATAATACTTTATCTTGTCGTCATCCTTTTCTTCAGTGTCTTGTTGTTCAAGGAAGAATGGCAAAGTCCTTTCATGTTGAATGGGCTTAAGGGCAGTTGGTTGTTTATTTCCCTGAAGCTATGCGGCGCCTTGTGTCTCCACATCAGGGTGAGACTGAAGTTTGTGTCAGGCAAGTTCCACAGTAAAGTTATTTTTGAAATCACTTCTAATGTTAGTTTATCCTGGCTGAAACCAGGACACTGATAGAAATGCCCTCTTCTCCCATCTCCACGTTATTACTGGCCAGCAGTAGCTCAAATTAGATTGCACACACAGGTATAAATTTAGTCAGCTGTTGGCGAAAACTGACTCATTACTGCTTCCTTGAAGTGACCCATTTCCACAAGCCTTTGCTTTGGTAAGTCTGACTTAGAGTCACCCACCTGTCAGAGGATGCTCCTTTTGCTATCAGTGTTGCATTCCCACAGGTCTCTGCTCTCCCCACTTGCAAACTGGCTCATAGCTCCAACCCTGAAGTCTGTGCTGCTGTTAGAAATGTGCTGTTGGGAAAAGCTACTGGGCAAGAGGCTACTGAGCCGGGAAAGTAGGCAAGCAGGGCTGGAGCACTGCTGTCTGGGCCACCTGTGTGAGTAACACAAGCAGAAGAGCCACACATCCATGCTGGGTATGTGTGATAATTGTCACAGCACATGGCTTTGGGCTTTCCTTACCTCCCATCACACCACCTTTGGCACCAGCCACGTTGTTATGGCAAATCCCAAATGAAAGTGTTCCTTCTGTGGCATTTTGTCTGTTTCTTGGCCACAAACCTATGCAGTCCATAGGCCTGAAATGAGACTAGTAGAGCAGTAGAGCAGTTTGCAATTCCTAGAGCTGTTGTTTTAGACTCTCCAAACTCAAGTGAACCTTCTTACGTCATTGCTTCACACTCAGTTCAGGTTTAAAAGAGATCTTGGCAACTCTGAGAGCCACGAAACATTTTAAAGTGATTAATAAGACTGCACACTTACAGCAAGGGATGACTCCTGCGGGACTCTGCCTAAATTTCCTGTTAATGTCAGATAACAATTCATCCAAATAAAGTAGATAACAAGTGGATTTTTTCATATGCATTCATAACAAAGTCTAAACAACAGTTATAACAACAAAGTGCTTAATACGTAATATTTTCAGAACAAACCACTCAGATTTTCAGATTATAAAACACTCTCTGAAAGAAAACAAACCTATTCACAGAAGTCCTTTGCCCAGGTCTCCAAATCACACTTTCACCTGTCTAAATACATAGAGCATTAAACTCTATTTTAACTTTCCCATAATCTCTTCAGCTACCTCCATGACACATACTCTTCTTACCTACTCTCATACTGGAGATCCTGGCTCCTGTATGTTTTAGACCCACTGACACATGAGACGTGCTTCTTCAGGCAAACTTCTGGGGCTCTGGGTATCAAGGTATCAAAACCAAATCTCACAGCTCCTCTACTGCTATATCCCCTGCCCTCCGGAAGCTTGCTGCATGCTAGCTTGTGGTCTGTCAGTCCCTGGGTGGTGTCACTGCCACTGCCCAGGCACAGGAGGGAATCCTGTTTTCTCACAGATGGCCTGTGTGTGCTGTGTGCAGCCGAGGAATATGTACCACTAAATGGCAGGCTGTTTGGCTGGAGGCTTGCAGGCTGGTGTAACCTGAACAGGCTGGGTACTGCCACGCATCTGTACACTGTTCCCTAGGATCACAACAGCGGTCCTCAGAAACAGGCCAGCTATTCACTTCTGTGACCAGCTACAGCTGTATTGACATGTTGCCTTTTCTACTTTCATGTTGTCAGCATCTTTAATGAGAAAACCCCACTGTTGCTTTCCATGCTGCCTGTGTAGTTTATAATTTTTTTTCTTTTGCTAATGCATTTCTTTGCTGTAATTTCGGATAAATTTTCTCCTTTGCTTGTCTATGTTTTTTCTAGCACCACAGTGTCAATAAAGTCTCTAGCCACTTGGTAATACTAGTTGCAAAGCTCTCTCTTGTTTTCTTAGAGCAGAAAGCTAGCTGAGCTCACACTGGAAAAGACCATATGCTAAGAAATCCACTGTTGCTTTTGTGCCCCATATAGCATTTCTCTTTCTTCCCTTAGGGAATAGCAGTCACAATTGGCAGTTTCTTGGCCACAAACCTATGCAGTCCGTGGGCCTGAAATGAAACTAATAGAGCAGCTTCCAATTCCTAGAGCTCTTATTTTAGACTCCCTCCAAACTCAAGTGGACCTTCTTATTTCATGCTTCACACTCAGTTCAGATTTGAAAGAAATCTTGGCAAGAGATCTTGGAGTTCCCTTACTTTGTGTTAGGAAGTGGAAGTGTTTACTGTGACAGTAGCAGTGCCTTACCCAAACAGGCCAAGAGACAAAGAATTCTGAGCTAGTCAAACAACTGAGGTTGAAACAGATTTATAAAAATATCTATCTTTATTTGTTTATACATTTCTCATCCTTGTGTTGTTTTCCTCTCTGGTAACCTGATATTCCTTCAAGTCTATCCCTTTGTTGCATTTTGGCTTCACTTCCTGTCAAATTATTTCATTTTATTTTGCTTCACCTGTCAAAATACATGAGCTAATTCTTTTTGTGATGACCTGCCACAGCTTCTTAGTCTCCAGTGACAGGATGCAGCAGCTACGTGCTTGCAAACCCTGTGCCAAGAAAATCACCTGGGCGCCTTTACATACACATAAGCAGAGAAGACAGACCCAGACTGAAATTCCTTGTCCAGCTTAGTTATGCTCTCAGGTACTGCCAAACAAGAAAAGTCTGCTCACAAACATGGCTCTTGCACATCTTTTGGTCTCCGAGTTGCCAGGTATTCAGTGTGTGGAGTCTAACACAATGGACACCACCATTTATCTGAATTTATCCCTCACCAATTCTAAAATGCCCTCGGGGGGAACTTACGTTGGGTTTTCTGGGGGGCAATACAACATTCTGGTATAACGGGTATTCTGATATTTCTTATTCTATGAATTGATTGCACACTATTTGTCTAAAGGCAGCAGCAAAGAACTCTACTAAAATACTGTGGTATTTATTTTTGTCATTTTTACTGCTGTGATACTGGGTGTTATAATTTATCTGACTTCTCACTCAATGTGCAGAGCCACTATAGCTCCATGCTACCTAGCAGCACAGAAAGTCCGTCTCTGGCTAGTCTGATGGTTGTCCAGCAAATCATTACTTGCTCTGGGAGTGGTGAAATGCAAACCCAGGGTATCCTGGGTAAACAGATACCTCTTTCATCTCCTCTGAAAGAAATGGGTGAGTGAGAATTGGTGTTACACAAGACCATGTTGATGCTGTTCAAAGTGATGAGTTTTACCCTTAATGTTATACTGAGGGAACACATGTGGTGACCAGTAATTCATTACCTTCACAAAGCTCATTTTCACTCAGCAGTGGTGAGTTTCAGAAGGGTGATAATAACAGATATCATTGCCTAAGTTCTCTCTCACATGTTGTCTACTGTCCCATGGAAATCAAAAAGTGATTAATTCCTCTAACAGCTTTTGTGGTACTCTGGAAACATTGACATTAAGTGGGAGATACTGCATATTTACCTGTGGGAGCAAAGGTCCACAATGGGTCCATTTAACAATGAAAATTGAAGACAATACATCAAAGAACTGGAAGAGTGTCTGGAAGGAAACAAGACTATTCATAGAAACAAAGCTCTCAGCAGGGATGAAGGACTTCCACAGGACCGGGGATGAACCGGAAGGCTATGTCTACCTGTGAGCTTGCATGCTTGAAGAAACAAAAGAGTTGGAGCTGGAGGCTTCAGAGAGATGCTTGACTGACCTTGGAGGTGCAGGTTGCACAACCTGAATAAGGAAAAAGCTGATGGCTCATCTTACCTGTTAAAATAAGGAAACACTCCTCTTTGGGATATTTCAGCTGAGCTACTTCCAAGCATGAACCTTCTTACCAAGGGCACAAACATACAGATTGCCAGAGATCCAAAAGGGGTGGCAGTTTGCCAGGAGTGCACCATCCTCTATGGCAAAAAGCCCAGCAGAGAAGAGGACTGCAATGGCGGGAGTGTCCTCTGTCTAAGGGGTCAAATTAGCAGCTTGTTCCTCCTCCTAAGTGGTACCAACCATGGAGGCAATATTGCTGTGTTTGGGCACTATTATCGCTCAACCTCTACTACTTCCATGTAAGGAGCGGCAGCTGCTCCAACCCCCTGCCCCTGGTGCATGCCTGAGCAGCACCTCACAGGGTGCACAGTGTCAGTAGGAAATTGAAGTAATGAGGCTCAATTAAGCAGCTCCGAATACAGTCGTGGATGAACTTGTCCCAGCAAGAGTACCTAGATCCAGTGGCTCAGCAGGGTGGTTGCGTGATGTGCAGCTGGTTCAAAGTCATTTGTAGAAGGCTGAATATTCCTTCTCCCTGTGGGACACATTTGCCCTTTTGAGTACCACACACACAGGGTGTAGCCAGGGGAGCCTCAAACCAGAGGATTTTAATGCCACCCCTTCCCTGTTTATACATGCCCGTTTACCAAGAAGTAAGAAAACAGACAAAAGGATAAAAGATCCCCATCTTCATAAAAGTCAAGAAGGCTTTGGCTGACGTAACACTGTTTTGCTTTTGCAATGAAATTTGGGCATCATTTAGCTTTGCTCTCATTAGTGCATACATAGGACAGCACTCACCTTCATTTAGAGGGCCAGCTCAAAATTTTGTGCCTTTTCTTCTTCCCAAGTGAATCTTCACTTCAGAGCTGAAAAGAGAAACCATTTATTCTCATGAATAGTAATTAAGGGGGGGAAAAGTAAAAAAAGAAAAAAAAAGAAAAAGAAAAAATAAAAAGATGATAGTATTGATAAATTTAGTATCATTAAATTTTCTCTTTTTGTTTTTGTTTTTTTCCAGCATGCCTTTTGTCTCCAGCTGCTTTCATATAAATTATGCTCCTAGATGTGATAGAAATGGGAAGTCAGCCTCTGATGTCTGTGAGGTTAGGCCACAAAAACTATACTTACTTCCCTGAGGGAAGCAATGCTGCTTACAGTAGATTTTACACTTTTTGTGACATGAGCCAGTTGACTCTTGTGGTCACATCATATAAAGTTTGCAAACTGTATGTATATAAGCTTGTACTCAGTAATTAGAGGAGCAACACTGTCCATTGCAGAGCACCACTCAGCTGGACAGCTGCAGGGAGACCTGGATGTACAGTGGTGGGGGACTTTTGGTGTGGTTTTGGGCAGGTGGTGGCCCATTTGCAGGGTGGCATTCAAAGGAGGAGATGAGAAGTCTAACTAATTCAAGAGTTCCAGCTGTTCTGCAAAACATTTTTCCTGACTGGCAATAAGACAATATTTATATAATTGCCTAAGCCCAAACCTGTAGCCTTTGAATAATAATAATATTGCCATTCTCTGAGATGCACTTAATTTTCAGAAGTGACCTGATAACAGCAGAAGCAAAACACTCAATTCCACAGTTACATAGAAACAAAAATAATTACAGAATTCATGCAGAAATTAAAATCTATTACAGGCAATTTGTGCTAAGAAACTAAACATCCCCTAAAGGTAGACAACTTCAACCATTTCAGTTGAAATGGTTGTCACTATTTAGGCCTGAAATCTTTTCCTCATATCTGCTCTAATCCCATTCTTTTGCTGTCTTCCATCATGCTGGAGATATTCTAGGTCCTAGACAATGTGGGTATTCAATTCATGTGCTTAAAATGTAACTACAACCATCTTTTTCATTTTCTTTAGCACAAAACAAACTTACACACTGAATTCTAACAAACTCCATGGATGTGCCTCTCATTTTGGGTCTTATGCAGTATCCAGTGGAGATGAATGGGATAATTTCCCATGAATTTAGCAAACACTGATAAAAATAATACAACAACAAAAAAGCACTTGTAAAAAAACCTTACAAAAATTACAGGAATGCAAGAATCTCCTTGATTGAAGATGTTCAACTCCTGAATCACTGAGGAATCTACTCATCAGCTTTCGATCTTCCTGATAACACCACCCAAATTAAAAGGAGCTTCTTATCTCCTTTCTAACCACTTTTTGGTCTGCCTAGAAAATCATAACTGCAACTTATTGTCACGTACGTATGTCCCCTCCAAAACCAGTAACACAGCAAATGACCAGATAAGTCATTTTTACACCCTGTTGAGTCATTTGGAGGTTTACCTTCAGAGACTCCTGGCATTTTTCTTGCTCACTTTTAAGGTCTGTAGAATTTTTGCCACGAGTGCCAGAAGGCAGAGGATGTGGGTCAGCCTATCCCTTTTGGTACTCTGACCAACCCTATTTGTCTATGGTTCATCAGCAAAGTGTTTCTGAAAGGAAAACAGAACATTTGTTCTGATTCTGTAAGTGGAAAAACAAACCCGAGTACCAGTGTGCTGCTCTATACTCTTTCCTTTAGCGAGTAGTTAGAGCACCATGACAGCACTACCAAGTCACGTCAGACTGAAGAGAGTGGCACCAAGCTGTCCATCAGCCAGTGGAGAAGGGTCTGACAGTGAGTTAGAACTCAAGGGAATGGGGTAGAGTACATTTGCCTCAAGTGCTGAGCAATCAGAGAAGGAAGATATCTACTGTAATTTGTGTCTCTGCGTAGTGACCTTCTTGGCTATGTTCACTTCCTACTGAAACTAAAGTGGCCCCAGTTAATAGGCTTCCACCACTCCGAGGGCAGAACTTGCACCATCTCTGTTCCTATTCTGTTCCTATAAACAACTACAGATGATCCTGTCCTCAGCCTCGTGGATGAAGGCCAGTCTGCAGGTACCACTTATGCCATCAACACCATCAAGGAGGGAAAAGTTGTAGAAGGTCTGACCTAGTGCTTAGTATGAGGTTTGCCATCAGTCAGTTACTTGACTTGGTTGCACTCCCAGTCATTTAATGGGAAATGAGGAACAGAAAGAAAGTACTTAGCAATGAATCCTCACTTTGTTTTCTCTCCTCTGCATTCTTCTCCCACCTTCATTTCACAGCTTTGCTGCCAAAGGCTGAGGAGGAAAAAGAAATGTCACAAGTCTAAAAAGCCAATTTTGGTAATGAGTTTTGGTACAAATTTCCTAATTCATGCTTTTCCACATGGCTTGTTTTTGTCACAAACAAAATAACCTAAAAGTATCCTACAGTTTCTCTTCTGACAGGTTGGATATTTAAACGCACAACCATTTATACTTTCAAGAATTCAGATCTGCAGTTTCAAAATGGAATTATGCCAATCACGTAGGCCATCTGGCTAAACTCGTTGCTAGGAAGTCATAAATAAGGATGACATGGGGTCACTTAATGGAAAGGCACTGACATTTCATCCATAGTTTATTACTATCCTCTGGTCCAAACTGAAGTGAGCTTATGGTCTCCGCTTAGTTTCCAGTGGACAAACTGTCTCAATTTCCTTCCCTCATACTGTAAAGAATCCATATGCTGCAGAAAGGATTTTATGGACTCAGTTCCATGGTCCAAACCCTAGCAGCATGATCACTGACTTCAACAGCACATTTCCCACATCTGGAAAGGCACCAGAGAAATTAATTCTGTACAAGTGCAATGGTCAAGGAGGGAGCATGCACAGACTTTTGCCATTTCGCTTACAAAATCATAAGATTCAACACTGTTAAAGAAAAATAATTCTCATCATAAAAGCAAGAGCAGGTCACAGGGCTGTAACACTCTAGGATTCTGCAGCACTACCCTGCTTACGCACGTGTACACACAAAGTCTCTATTTCCAATTGCCTCTTGGCATAAAGAGTAGTTTTGATTTAGAAAAAGGCTCAGAACTGCTATGGGGATCTCATTTATTTCTCCTAGGAAATAGGTTCTTTTCTGCTCTCCTCAGAGGAATGTGTCTTTGCAGGCAGGGTCAGCACCGCCAGGGGAGGGGAGTCTGTGTATGTGTTTGAGGGAGGATATAGACTTGAAAGAAGTTAAAGGCAGATTCAAGGAAGAGATGATCTCTTCTGTGTCCTTAGTGAATAGGACAAGAAATGGGCTTACCTGCAGTTAGAGACACTGAGGAGCAGTAGAGCTGGAGTAGCTCTGAGAAAGACTGCCCAAGAAGGTGTGGAGTCCCTGCTGGTGGAGGTGCTTGAAAGGAGACTGGTCCTGGGGAGATGCAGATATGGTTAAGGACAGAACAAATAATATCTTGATAGTCATTCCAGCCCTGTGACTGACAAAAACATGTTTCTCCCACCAATTTGCTGGTTTCTGAGATCTAGCCTGCTCCACTGAGAGGAGTAACAAAATATCTCAGTTCTTCTCATCTGATCTTAATGAGAGTATGCTAAAAGCGGCAAGGAAAACAGACAGGGAAAATGTAGCCTTAGAACATGAAATGTGGAAAATAAGGATATACTGATGGCATGTGAGCCATCCTTTGGTCTCTCGGTGAAATACTGGGGCTTGGTAGGCTTGCAAACAGAGCCTGCTCCTGGGTGTGCGGGTGTGTGTGTCTGCCTGACACCAGAACAGCTGGCAGCACATCCAGCCTGTGGGTCATCCAGGTAATTCATTGGTCTTGTACCTGTTATGAGCCATTATTCAGCAACATCCAATAATTAAAAACAAATACGCTGTAGGTAACATGGTGAACAGCTGACAGAGTCTAGGAGTAAAGGCACCACATGAAAAAATCAACACAACAGTCTGTCATTAAAATAAGGCAGACTCCACACGAACTGATGGCTGTCGGAGTCACGTTCGTGCGGTTAGAACTTTTCAGTGTCCTTTTAAAAAGGATGAAAATATCCACCAACCCTGAGAACAAACATATCATTTTAAACCAGAATAGGCCTGTAAGACTTTTTAACACTTGTTCGTTGATTATATTAATGCCAGAATATATTAAAGAAGTGCAACATAAATTTGATTTTAATTGTTTTGTACACACGCCAGTGAAAAGGAACTGATTGGATACAGTTCACAGGCAGTATGTTAATACGTTATTTTCATATGATGATAGCTCTGCATAATCTTTCTTTTTCCAAGATTTAGAAGAACCTGTTGTTAACCAAAGCACAGGAGAGAGGAAGAATACGATTTACATAAAATCGGCTACCCTACACATTAATTAGTAATGTGGCTGAGCGGAAGGTGTGTTCACTTAGTAGAAAGTACACTTTATAATTTATACACCAGCTGTTTCAGTGCTTTCTAGTCCATTTTCCTCCCTGCCTGCCTCTAATGAAATCGTGTTACTGGAGAATTGACTGGGGTGAATTGAGATTTTAATCCCATTGACGCTTCTCTATGGAAAGGCACACTGGTGGGAACTTTTAATGGAAGGTCTGTAATCAGAAGACACTTGTATTCAGTCCCCCACTATAATGACTCTCATCAAATGTTAAAGCCCAGGCAGTGTGCAGAAGGCTAGAATTTCAAGGTTTTTGACCAACCCCATTTGAGGCATTCCTCTGGGAGTGTGTGATTACTCAAGTTTAGCAGTTTATTGCCTCATCTTTCAATATCCAGTGGAGCACAAAATTCTCATCTAGGTTGCTCTTTTTACTTAAAGAACAGGCCAAAATAGACTGCAGAGCTACTAGCACTGTCATTGAGGTTAATTCTTGCTTCTCAGTTAACAGAAGATCAATGGAAAAGCTTTAAAATATTAGAACACAAATACTGATTAGTCTCTAAAAATGCTCAGCAGCCTTTGTAAAAATTCTGGTTCACATCACATTTTTCCAATACACACACACGCTCACATTTATTTATTTATTACCAAGCGCTCCTTTAAGGCAAAGAGTAACATTAATTGAGAGGTAGTGCTGTTCTGCAAAGAGGGATGTAAACATGTATTAAAATCCAGCAGAGCGAACAGTTTTCCTATTCCCCAAACTTTGCAGTCAAGAAAAGTACAGTCATTAAAAGAGAGGTGGTCAAAAAGCAAGCTGAATTGGGAGTTAATGGGACTCATTATGTCGGCTGCATGTTAGTAGTGTCTCCTTCTCTACCAGAAAAACAAGCAGAAATAGACACAGAAAAGCAAAACCCACTTAAACAAATGCCTGTTAAAATCCCTGTGAGGAGAATGCATTTGCTCTGAACAGACACAAACACATCAATTAATACAGTGGAAGCCACTTAAACATATACATGTTAAAGAAATAAACTGGAAAAAATGAAGGGGCTTCTGACAAAAGATGTCAAATGCTGTTAAAAGGAATAAATCTATTTAAAAGACAACATATTTTTCAAATGCAGAAAGTTAAAATAGAAGGAATAATAGGAAGAATGCCTCTGAAGAATTAATGTTAAGTTAAAAAAATGTCTTTTCCTTCCTTCTCCTTTTCCGTCCTCCCTAAAAAAGGAATCAAAATGAGGGTTTCTTTAATAAGCATTTCTCTGGCAACTTAATGAATACATTTGAATGACTTTCCTTATTCTCTGTTCCTTTCTTATTGAATTGGTCAGACAAAGGTCTAATTTGGGAGTGTTTTTACTTAAAGGAGCTCTTTCTTTCTGACACTTCTTTCAGGCCAGCATGGGTTCAGGATTTTCCACTCCTTATGCAATTCACTCCCTCTGCTCCCTTTCTTATTTTACTTATTTCAAAAAAATGTTAGGATCCACTTGTTATTAGAGGTTCCTTTTTTATGGCTTCCAATCTGAATAGGTACCTACATTCTCACATTCCCCGCAGGATTCATTGCAGTTATTGTATACGTACTATAATTCATACAGGAAGGATTACAATGTAGCTTTTCATTGGATTATGTTTGTGTGTATTTTTCAAGGCTTATTTAATGTGGATATATGCGTATAGATTTTTCTGTGTGCCTGAGTGACTTTCAGGCGGTCTTCTTTAGACTTTTCCTGCCTGACTTTGGTGGGATTCTTTTAGAGCTCTAAGTGTCCAAATATGAAGGGAACAGCCAAACCTCAGATTTCTTTATAGTTTTCTTAATAGGTCATGAATGCCTTTTGTTATATCAGCACTATTTTTTCCAGGCTCTCTCCTGCTTCCTTTTACCAGCCTTTAACTGTCCACTTCTTGGACAGTTTTCTTACTCTTCAACCTGGCAAGGGAACCTCTGTTCCCAAGCAGCTTTCTGCTGGTGTCTCTCAGAAGTACCGATCCATATATCAATGATCTGCATGCTTCACAGACATCCATAAATGTATTTCCTCAGCACCTACATTAAGCATGTAATATTACATTAGTCTGGCAGAGAGAGAGCTGAAACAGAGACAAGCAACTGAGTCACCCAAGGGCACTAAGAAAATCTGCTCTAGAGCCAGAAATCTCACCCAGACTCCCATTTCTTAAGCCCAGATATTACTGAATAAGTGTCCTGTGGTCCTAATCCACCAAAAAGAGCAAGACACAAATTCAGACTTTCTGAAGTTGTGCCTAACCACATAATACAAACATCTGACTAGGTGTGCCATCTTTTCTAGCTCTCCAGAAGCAAACTGCTGTTTGAGCTGTCAAATATGGCAAATCGGGTGATAGGAATAACAAGATCTTCCATTTCTAACATAAATATTGCTGTTTATAGCAGGGAAGCCCTCTTAAATACATTTGCACAGCACTTAGCACAATGAGCCCTTGTCTTCAGTGATACAACAGTAATAACTGTCAATAACACTGTTTATGGTCATTTTCTCTTTTCAACAAGATGAGGGTGCTTTTCTAATCCACAAAGGCTATAAACCTGAACTACTGCATTATTTCTAAGGGCAAAAGTGAGACCAGAGATCAGGCAGATGAAGCATGTCTTTTGTGATTTATCTGCTCACTGCCATCACCTTCTTTTCTTCAGTGAAACCATAAGAAGGTGATGATCAGTGCTTAACTCAAATGTAAATAAGTATAGCACCTTCTGGAGGCCAAAGCAATAATCCCATTCAATCAGACATAAAAACTGATATGGCTGGGAAGTATAAGCCATTCTACACTTCCTGTGTAAGGTATCTGTAAGGTAATTTAACAGGAAAGGTACAACCTTTGTTCTGTGAAAAATCAGCATAGACTAGAGAAAATCAGCAGACATCAACGGTAGGAAGCAATCCCACATGAGTCCCAGGGGGTACACTAGCCAGCCTAATATGGTGTAGGTCTTTCCCCCTCCCCAGACTACAGCTATATAGTAGTCCATGGCATTCATTAATTTCTTGGCCTTTGTTAATCTCTAATAGTTTAACACACCATATGTTTCTTTCCCCAGGACAGACTGCCTTCCATAACATGGTCCTAAGGAAAAAAAAATCCAAACCTAGTACTGCCATTCATAGAGAAAAGAAAAGTCAGCAGACACAAAAAAAAAAAAAAAATAAAAAAAATGCTGTCACTGAAATTGTGTTGTGTTGAATCATTTAAATGAGATCATGAGCTACTATAATATATTGATTTTTTGCATTTCCTGGGAGCATGGCATTTTAAGGACACAAGGTGCTTTATATTTGCTTTTAGGCATTATTTAACACCAAGTTTTACTCTTCTGTGTAAAGATTCAGTTGTGTGCCAGTAACTTGATGAGTACAATTTTGTCATATCTGCAGGACTATAACACGGTCATACAGCTCAGGAGTCTGTAACACAAGTTCTTTTATGAATTCTTGTGACCTACAACAAACACTTTTGTATGTATCTTCAATAGATTGATCTAGCTTCTCTTAATATTTTACGATCATGCATGTTGAACAGGGAAGCTGCTTATAGTGACAGTATTTTATATCCTTTAATTACATGGTAAATATTCAAAATGCAGTTCCATGGTTTCTTACAGGAAATAGCAATAGCAGTGGTAGTTACGAAAGTGAATGAAGCAAGGAATAGGTTATTCATGCCCTGCACAAAGCAGAAGACAGAACACACAAAGAAACAGTTGTCTTGGAACTTTCAGTTAATAAAGGTGTCCATGCAAGTCAAATACATAGCATAGCAAGTTCCTGCTATTCAGTCTGTATCAGACTCTTTCCCAGGAGTTTCAGTACAGTGGCTTAATTTGCAAAGAGGATAGAAAAACAACACTATGGGATTGATGTAACTCTAGCAAGATGGGCAAAGGAATATGAATTTGCAAAGACCTAATGAACAGCTCTTCTGCAGATAGCGACTAAGTGCGGGAGATACCTGCTGGCTAATCTTT